ACCCAGACCTAGTAGTATTATACAGACGTACAATGTCACTAGCCTGACCTGACACCCAAAGCTAGTAGTATTACACAGAGGTGTACAACGTCACTAAGCCTGACCTGACACCCAAAGCTAGTAGTATTACACAGAGGTGTACAATGTCACTAGCCTGACACCCAGACCTAGTAGTATTATACAGACGTACAATGTCACTAGCCTGACACACACAGCTAGTAGTATTACACAGAGGTGTACAATGTACTAGCCTGACACACACAGCTAGTAGTATTACACAGAGGTGTACAATGTCAATAGCCTGACACCCAGACCTAGTAGTATTATACAGATGTACAATGTCACTAGCCTGACACACACAGCTAGTAGTATTACACAGAGGTGTACAATGTCAATGGCCTGACACCCAGAGCTAGTAGTATTACACAGAGGTGTACAATCTCACTAGCCTGACACCTAGACCTAGTAGTATTACACAGAGGTGTACAATGTCACTTAGCCTGACACCCAGACCTAGTAGTATTACACATAGGTGTACAATGTACTAGCCTGACACCCATACCTAGTAGTATTACACACAGGTGTACAATGTCACTTAGCCTGTCACCCAGACCTAGTAATATTACACAGAGGTGTACAATGTACTAGCCTGACACACACAGCTAGTAGTATTACACAGAGGTGTACAATGTCACTAGCCTGACACCCAGACCTAGTAATATTACACAGAGGTGTACAATGTCACTTGCCTGACACCCAGACCTAGTAGTATTACACAGAGGTGTACAATGTCATTAATAATAATAATATTATAGGTTTGGCTAGCAGATCTTGAGGGTTAGTATTCTTAATATGAAATTTTATACTCTTGTTAATAAGTATGATATATTTTAAATTTCGTTGTGTCTTTAGTAGAGGACAATGTTATTGGCTGGCCATTACTTATAGTTCTTATCTAATTCCTGACTTCCCCTTTCACCTCCAGAGCGTTTTCGTCAATAATCACCTACGGCATACCGGGAAACTTAAGCTGCAGTTAACCTTTCATCTTTTTTCGTCCTTCTTAACCAGGGTTAATTGATCTCAACAGTGAAAATATGCAACATACTATACAAGGTAATATATCAATGGCTAAATTATCACTGCATGAAAACAGATTCTAACAGTAAAGGGCGTTAATTTGATTGAGTTTACCGTATCCCTGACATCACCCTCATATACCCTACCGTATCCCGGACATCACCCTCAGATACCTTACCGTATCCCTGACATCACCCACATATGCCCTACCGTATCCCCGACATCACCCTCATATGCCCTCCCGTATCCCTGACATCACCATCATATGCCTTACCGTATCCCGGACATCGCCCTCAGAAACCTTACTGTATGCCGGACATCACCCTCAGATCCCTTACCGTATCCTGGACATCACCCGCAGATGCCTTACCGTATCCCCGACATCACCCTCATATGCCCACCGTAACCCTGACATCACCCTCAGATCCCTTACTGTATCCCGGACATCCCCCTCAGATACCTTACTGTATCCCTGACATCCCCCTCATATACCCTACCGTATCCCGGCCATCACCCTCATATGCCCTACCGTATCCCGGACTTCACCTTCATATGCCCTACCGTATCCCTGCCATCACCCTCATATGCCCTCCCGTATCCCTGACATCACCATCATATGCCTTACCGTATCCCGGCCATCACCCTCAGATACCTTTCTGTATCCCGGACATCACCCTAAGATACCTTACTGTATCCCGGACATCACACTCAGAAACCTTACTGTATGCCGGACATCACCCTCAGATCCCTTACCGTATCCCGGACATCCCCCTCATATGCCCTACCGTATCCCGGACTTCACCTTCATATGCCCTACCGTATCCCTGCCATCACCCTCAGATACCTTCCCGTCTCCCGGACATCACCCTCATATACCCTACCGTATCCCTGACATCGCCCTCAGATACCTTACCGTACCCCGGACATCCCCCTCAGATACCTTACTGTATCCCGGACATCACCCTCAGAAACCTTACTGTATCCCGGACATCACCCTCAGATACCTTACCGTATCCCGGACATCACCCTCAGATGCCTTACCGTATCCTGGACATCACCCTCAGATACCTTACTGTATCCCGGACATCACCCTCAGATACCTTACTGTATCCCGGACATCACCATCAGATACCTTACCGTATCCTGGACATCACCCTCAGATGCCTTACCGTATCCCTGACATCACCCTCATATGCCTTACCGTATCCCTGACATCACCCTCATATGCCTTACCGTATCCCGGACATCACCCTCATATGCCTTACCGTATCCCGGACATCACCCTCATATGCCTTACCGTATCCCGGACATCACCCTCATATGCCTTACCGTATCCCGGACATCACCCTCATATGCCTTACCGTATCCCGGACATCACCCTCATATGCCTTACCGTATCCCGGACATCACCCTCATATGCCTTACCGTATCCCGGACATCACCCTCATATGCCTTACCGTATCCCGGACATCACCCTCATATGCCTTACCGTATCCCGGACATCACCCCAACAGACTTCGTCTTCTTTACATTTCCAACCCTAACCAATCTGATTAAAATCATATGTTACATGGCTTCGTTAACTTCGTACTACGCCTGAACACTGATTTTAATCAGATCGCAACCCTAACCAACTTTATTTACCGTTTGCTAAAGGGCGTGCCCACTTCCAATATCTCTCTCTCCCTCTTCAGAACGGTTGTGTTCTTTGCTTTCCGCAAATCATCTAGTCGCTTCCTCAGACTTGCTACTTCATCTTCCAGCTAGGTAGACAAATAACATCATCTTTGAACTTTGATATCAAAAATATATAGAGGTAAACATATCATTATCGGAATTCATATAGAAGCACAGCCAGTTGATTGTTGGGGACTTTTCCAGAAAAGTTACCTAGTTGTATCACAAATAGTCAGCTCAAAATCGAAACTTCCAGAATTTTTCAGAATCAAATTTCCAGAATTTTTCAGAATCAAATTTTCATAATTTTACGGAATCATTTCCAGAATTTTTCAGTCTAATTTTCAGAATTTTTCAGAATCATCTTTCCATAATTTTTCTGAAACAAATTTCCTGAATTTTTCAGAATCAAATTTTCAGAAACCTGAACTTTATAGAATTAAATAGAATTCAGAATTGAAAAATGTTCATTAAATGAACACTATCTAGAAAACAAAAAATAACAATTTAACACTACACTGAAAAAATCAATGCGTTAACCAGATTCAGAATTAAATTTGGCATCTGCTGCGTTGTGAATAATAAAACTGGTAAAACTAACCTCTTTTACTCTTTGTTTGAGGATAACCTCATTGTGTTTAGTGTTGTTGGTGAGAGCCAACTTCTTGTTGGTAGCCATCGGATCTGCTTTCTTTCCAACTGAAAAGACAAATTTATATTTCAGTTACCCGGTATCGCCTTATGTCTTTTGTCTTAATTTGTTGTAATTTTATAACTAGCTTTGATATAATGTTAGTTTTTTTCAATGAGGATAGAAATCTCTGGTATTGCTTTAGACTTCAGTGACCTCGGACGGAACCTTTCACATCTGTGTTCAGTAACTCAACAAAATAAATATGTCAGTTGAAGAAAACATGGAAGAAAAAAATGTATATTGCGTTAAAACTGAACATCAAACTAGATTGAAACCAAAGCATGGGCTTCAGGGACAACCCCTTAACGCTGATCTACAAAGTTTGATAACTAATCATAATACAGTGGCTGAGATATGCTGTTGAAACCTTATGAATCTGTATTATATCACTTGAAATCAAAGGTTTAACTGAGGTTATAGTGACTTCATTTTAAGGTGTGATATAGCCTTCCTGTGATGTACTGATATACAAAGTTTGATGTCCGTTCATCGAACTATGGAGATATGGATATATGCTCCAGAAACCAACAACAAGGACAAAGATCAAATGTAGGTCACAGTGACTTCATTTTAGAGTGTGATTTATAAAGCTTGAAGCCCATTCATTAGTGAATGAAACACACTGTGGAAACCTGTATTAAGCTATACTCTATTACTTCAGGTCAAAGGTCATACTGAGATCAGTGACTTCATTTTGAGTTGCAACACTGCCTTCCTGTGATGTATCTACATGTGTATAAAAAGACTGATACCAATTCATGAAACATTGGCTGAGATAGTGCTCTGGAAACCATTATATTAATATTTGAGGTCAAGGTGAAAGGTAAAATATAGGTCACAGTGACCTTATTTTAGGCTGTGACACACCATATTCCCATGATATACCTTAATACAAAGTCTGATGCCCATTCCCGAAACAGTAGCTGAGATATGCTCCCAAAACCAACCTCAAGCTCAAAGGTCAAATTGAGGTCACAGTGACTTCATTTTAGAGTATGACACTGCCTTATTGTGAATGTACTTATATACTAAAAAATTATGCTCATTCATGAAATAGGCCAAAATAGTGGCTGTGATATATGCTCTGGAACCATTATTTCAGTACTTAATGTCCAGGTGAAAGGTCAAAGTCAGGTCACAATGACCTTGTTTTAGGATGTGACTCACCACCTTCCCTATGTTCACAACGTTTATGCTAGTTGCTACAAAACATTGTAGTTTGTATAGTACATTGTAGTAAATATATATTCCCTGGACTTTGTATGAAGTGGGGTATAAAAATATCTATCTTGATTGATAAGGAAAATATTTTGTAAGAAACCAAATCTCAAGTCTAGTTTAACTTTTCTCTCCAAATAAAATGAGGGTACTGGTATGAGACCAAACCTTTTTATTTTGAAAGAAATTATTAATGGATTTTTATACTAATTTAACCTAAGGTAAAAGGTTACCCTTCAAGCTAAAATTGTTTGTGGCTATCATGAAAAGTTTGTTTCATTCCTTTTCTTGTGCTGCATTTTATAAAATTATTGTTTTATAACATTTGAGTGATTGAAAAAAAGGAAAAAATATTTTTAAGGAAAGCAAATATCACACGGACTGAACTAGGGATATATACACTGCTAAGTTTATAAGTCTTAACCAATTTTGCTATCCAGAAATTATGAATACACACCATCAAAATCAAAGACCAGATACCTAACTAGGGGAAGTAACTCTAAACTAGATAAACCTTTTTGCTGCTTTATCTAGTATTCAACTGATAAATCATGAGCAGTTGTTGGATAAGTCAGTGAAAGCCCTACCTGTTGAGGGTTGTATTTGACCAAATAAGGGACCAGCTCAGAAAAATCAAAGGTGGGGTGCTTATGATTAGACACGATTTTCAACAAACAACATAATTAAATACCTCATATTTTGACTATTTTCCCATCACAGCACTATGAGACATGAAGTTCTCTTTGCCCCACTCTGCTATTGACATCCCTATTACACTTGTATAGTAAAATGATGAATATAATAAAAAAGGATAACTGAGAGACTGCATAGGGTGCTGTATCAGCGGTTAGGATGCTGTTGCAGTGTTCATTATTTTTTGTTTTGTTCCATACACTTGTGTAAAGTCTCATTTTGATTGCAGAAATTGTCTAATACACAAAAAAAACAATACAATATTTGTTATTGCATTAAAAGATAATGGGAGTTCTGATAACTGATTATGTTTACAAAGCTGACAGTATCAAAATGTGCCCCAGCCAAATCAGTTTGTCTAGTTGTGATTTATTTTAAGACCTGTCAATCAATATCTCTGGTAGATACACTGACCTCAGGAACAGGGTATTGTGATCCGATAGCTATATAAAGATATAGATATCAATGTTTACATGAATTGATATATATAATTTATAAATAAATTCTTACTTCATCTGACATGATCAAATCTATTTAGGAAGAGTGATTCTTACTTCATGCTTTGCATGGTCATCATTTGACAAGGGGCTGGCTTATTACTGAACACAGGCTTAGGCAAAACATAATATAAATTGTGTTTACGGTAACCCTACCAACCCTTCTTTTCAGCCTACCCTTAACTTCTTTAGGCAATTTTCAAAAAAAATCAAACTAGAAAATGTCTGTAAGACATGAATGCCCCCTACAGGTAGCAACTATGACCTTGGAATCCTGAAACACAACGATGTCCGATGTATACCCATACTTGACCTTTGAATAAAGTTTGAAAAAAATCTGTGAAAAAATGAAGTTGCTAAGTGTTTACATTGAATCGGGACGGGATGCGATGCGACAGCCATTGGCAGCAATATATGCCCCCCCCCCCATTTTATGGCGGGGGAATAAAAACTACCTTGCCAGTCTTTTACTTTGGCTGTTTTTCCCTTCCTGAGACTTGGCCTTGGGAATCCCATGGATCCTCCCGTTATACAGATGCATCTTCCCTAGGCACTGGGAACTGGCCTTCAACCAAATGTAACATGCAAGCAGGCCTATATCCAACCCTCTATCCAGCCACCGACCACGCTCGACGTTGCTGAACTAGTGGGTATATCCAGGGGTATGCCACATTGCTGAAAAAGCTAGCTTGTCAGTAAGGCATCATCCCCCTTCTCATTCCTTGGCTGGTAAACATGTACTGGAACCAGATAACTTTTAAATTGTGTATAACACCAGATTATGCATGATAGCTATATACTTTCCTTTGCGAGGAAAATATATGGATGCATGGGTAACTCATATCTTACTTTTGTACATTCCACTATTGGATCTGACAGAAGATGTTAACTTTGTTGTGACACCGCGAACTTCAGATATGGGTATTCTGTTTGTAGAATCTTATGGTACAGTTTGCCTCATACATGTGTAACAGGAAAGAGAATAGTGTGCTTCCACCGGGGATCGAACCCTCTATCTCCAGGTTCCTAGTCGGACACTCTACCACTGAGCAGATTCCTAGTCGGACACTCTACCACTGAGCTTAAGTCCCTCAAGCTTGAAGCTAGAAGGCAACCTTAATCCTATGTACAATTAAAATCTGCCACACTACTCCCCCCTTTTTAAATGTGTTTGCCCTCGAACACCACAACCCAGGTTCTAACTCCCTGTCACCACAGGGAGGGCCACGGACACCATTTGTAACAGGAAAGAGAATAGTGTGCTTCTACCGGGGATCAAACCCTTTATCTACAGGTTCCTAGTTGGACACTCTACCACTGAGCTAAAGGAAATTTGTTCTAGCTGGAAGCTAGAAGGCGACCTTAATCCTATGAACAATCAAAATCTGCCACACATTCCAATGAGGTCCAGCGCAGAGCAGCTAGGTGGGTGTCTGGCAAATTTTCCCCTCTGGACAGTGTAACAGACATGTTAGGGAGTCTGGGTTGGCAAACATTAGCACCCGCACCCCCGTCCCCTGTCATCATAGTTCACCTACCCGAATACACTATTTCTGGCTCTGTATTGGAAAGAGTTCCTAAAGGTGGCCAGAGTTGATATGACCAACACCGAATCAGAACTCTTTCCAAATACAGCTCAGTTGGAGTGTATGTTACTGTATATTAGGTAAACAATCTTCAAACTATTATTATCACCCCCCCTCCCTCACACCCCGACTCAAAGTCCATAATAGATCCGCTATTTTGTACAACAGGAGCTATCAACATCCGTAGAGGTTCCATAAAATATGCCCTTGTATGGGCAGTAGCAGGTCTAAACTTATAGACATTTCTTAGCACCAAATACTCTCTCATCACACTTTTCTTTCTTTCCTCTCCCTCTGCCTTATGCATGCACCAGTCCGCACTTTATCATTTCTATCTCGGTCACCACACAATACCTTTTAACATGCACAGACACGCACGCTGCACATATTACTCGAAAAAGGGTCAGATGCAGAATATATAGATAGATAGATAGATAGGTCACTTAGGTTTTTTCTGCTTAAAAAGCTTAATGTAATGGCACCTGGGGACAGAGGGGTGGAGATTTTAACAAAATTTGGTCCAGAGCAACATTTGGCAAGGGGGACTCAACTTTGTACATAAATTAAAGAGAGAGTGCGGCCCCCCTGTGGGCAGAAGGATGCATGGGCTCAATATATATATAGGGGAACATAGTGATGTTTAAAATCCTTCTCCTTCTGTACCATTTCAGGGAATTTAACCATATTTTGTGTAGATCATCCTTGAGCGAAGGGGATTCAAATTTGTATAAACAGAGGTGCCCCCTCCCCACTTCATACATTATATCCCTACCATGGAATTAGATTGTTATCCAAGTATGTGCTACTACTCATCTTCCTATCTTTCATCTGCTGGATAACCAAATTATTCGGTAGCGCATGGGTAGTGAAACTGATGTAAAAACACACAATCAGTCAATAGACCAATACGATACGATATATATCGTTGCAGCCCTATCGACCACATGTATTTAATTTCTTCGGTTACTCTGGTTCCATCCCCATTAATTCCCAACCCATGTTCCCAAATCCAGCCCAGCTTACAGATGATGCACACACTTACACTGATACGGTTTCATAATAATGTGTCCAGCACCTGTAGCTTACCCAATGTACACATGTTTCATAACTGAACTGTTGAGTGTTGTAGCCAAGTCAATCAAGTTTATTGAAATCTAATGATTGCAATAGTTTGCACAGAATTCATCCATGGACAGCAGTATTTGTGACAACGTGTTAATCTAGCGTAAGGCCGAGATAGCCTTTATACCCACCGCCGCATAAAATATTCTCTCTTCGTCCGGCAGTTGGGAGGTTTACTGTTCTGACTTTCTGTAACGTAAAATTCGAAATCATGCTATGGGTTATTTCATTTCAAGGACGGGTACGTTGGGGCGAATTAAAGTTATCCAACGAGAATGTATGTAAGATAGGGCATGACAACTTACCTGTTCAATAATATTAAAAATAGCAATAAATCCCCACTGGGTCAATTGTCACTAAGCCTATCTAAGTCGGACATATTGCCAACCTCTGACCCTACTGGGAAGAGGTCAAAGGTTAGTAAACAAAAAAAATGTACACATAAATAAATTACGAGAATATTTAACAAAATCTATACAAGTTAATACCAATACTCTTTTCTGAATATAAAGTTGTTATAATGAACAACATTGTGCGTTTCAAACGTATCTTCGTCAATAACGTATTTAACAGAAGGGAAATGTTACGGCGTCTTCAGCGCCCCCTACCGATTCCGGCCATTTTGGATACTGCGGCGGTAGGTTTGTTGATAGATAGTCAATCGACTAACATCACTCTCATGAATCTACCTATAATGGTCTCCATGCATTATTTGTGTTCTATTAATATTTTAAAATCCACTCTATCCAAAATTAAATTTATTCGTGGTTCACATAGATACGAGATTCGTATGTAAACTTGAACTTTCTCCTGTGTTTTGATCTAAGATATGTGTATTTCACCCATTGTATGTTCTCGTGATTATAGTTCATTGCTCATGTCGGTAGGGTTCCTTCCTGCAATTCAATTGAAATTGTGTTCTGTTGTCTGTTTTGAGAGTCGTTCAGAAACCAATTTTAAAAAAGTAACAATATATCCGAACCGACGTTTTGAATGTGGGAATGAAATCAAGGGGAGATCACGCTGAAAACGGTGCCCCTTCACTACTCGAATTTGGTTTAAATTTGCATATATGTACTAAGTTCTGTTTAAACAGAATGACAACTCGGTTTATTGGTCATATTTACATGTCGATTTTTAGTTTTAACCTGGTTGAATTCTAAACGTTGCTTCAATGAAATTCAGTAGAACAGGGTTGTTTACAAATGTTCTTTGTTTTTCAGATCCTGAAGATTTTCTTCAAATCAACACATGAAATTGAATTTGCTTATTGCGTACCATTTTCGTTGTAAAACGAGCTAACTCCGTTGAATATTGAGGTTTCATCATCATTTTTATATTGAATGTTAAATTTGCGACATGGCAACTGCCAAAGTTGATCAAAACTCGAGTAATCATCATCACTCCATTCCGATGGCAATGGATGGGATCAAATCTGGCAACAGCGATGGTAATAGGTAAGTTACATATATAGCAAGCCCTGCAGTGCACCATAATATTAGAGTTGAACAGGCTGGGTGCATATGGGTTATAATCTTGCATTTGGGTAAGGGCATTTGTTGAAAATATGTTAATTCAGTTGCCTAAATTTTCTGAATTTACATCGCCCTCATTCATTGCTTATAGTGTGTTGTAGAGTAGCTATGTCACATTTGCACTGGATGGTCCCATTACCTACACACTAGAGACGATGGAGAACAAAGCCAGTGATATAGTTTCTCCTTTTTGTGCCTTTTCACAAAAGTCAAGACATCAGAATTGATTTTTGTTTGTGCACAAATGTAATTTATTGGATTTAGTTGAAAGTATAATGCCCTTTTTTGGTCAAAGTGTTTAGAATAACTTTGTGTGTTTTTCTTTCAATTTATTCCCCATTTCAGTATTAACCCTTAGGCTGCTACGCACGGCATATCCTGTTTTGAAAAGTCGGGCCGTCAGTGCTATGCACGGCATATGTCGTTTCTCGGTCTGAAGGTTTTGATCGGTAGCCAGGAAGTGTGAAGTCGGGTTGTTGCTATACCAAACCCGAACGTGTATAGTAGAAGGCTTCTGATTGGTTGTTTTGTCATTACTTTCGATATTCACGGCAGTGTACGCTAGTAATAACCAAAGGTGTGCGAGAGAATTTCAAATTTAAAAAAACATCATAAAAATGGCGGACGTGTAGATTGAAGCGATGAATATGATGGTAAACATTTATTCCCCAACGTCACCTACGATGATAAAGGTTTTGAAGGGTTTGACTTGGTTGATGTGGAAATACTTCGGTGTAACATAATATGTTACTTTCCAATAAACGGCTTTGTGCCCTACGCAAACAGGAAAATATCGGCGGACCGAGGCGCACATGTTGTCTGCAGGTGAGGCCGAATTGAACATTGACATTGATACGTTTTGAACCGATTTATTTCTTCAAACTTTTTATCGGTGATTTAATCATAAACTAGACCGTAGCTAAGATATATCTATATGCCGACTGTGACAGTAAATGTATTGAATGGCGACCTGAAACCGGTAGAAAATCACATGCAATTCTTTACGAAATACCTGACCTTTTTACCTGAGAATCTCCGTGTAAATTACAGCGTCTTATGTCAAAAATGAAGTTTATAATCTCTGTTATCATTTGCCAATCCCATTTGCGGACAGAAATAATTTTAAAATGATCTTTCTCTTGCTTAAATCCCATTAATTAAAAGTTTAACATTTTCTTACCTTTATTACCACCTGTACAGGTAAATACTGAAGCAACTTTAGAATTGAAAATGTCAATATAAGCTAGAGACAACAACAAACAATTTTCATACAACTTTTTTTCACATATAACAAATTTTTTCCAAGTTATGCACATTTGAAAAATCAAGTAAATTAATTTAAATTTCAATAATTAATTCAGCAATGGTGTCCCTTTACATAGAAATCAATGTAGCAGCCTAAGGGTTAAAATTGTTACCCAAATGCAGGATTATTACCCATGTGCACCGTTGTTCCCAACCTGACGACAGTCCAAATGTACAGGATTTTCGTATTTAGAAGGGACATACTATTATTGAGGTAATGGGATCTCCAGACTGATTGTATATTAGCTCAAGTGATAGATGTGAGTACCTTGCTACAGAAAAGACATATCCTATTTCCTAAAATTTTTGGACAAAATCATGTTTGTACTCTTGAAGTGATTTTGATAGTCGTCTTTAAGAATTTGGGTCAATTCCCACTTTTAATAGACATAGAAGGTATGAAGGCAGTAAGGAAATATGACCCAAAAGTTTAGTTTTGGCAAATCTACACATCAGAATCACTCCCTGTTTGCTCATAGTTTGTCTCAAAATAAGCAAAACAATATTGCAACAACTCCAATTTGTCCTGCTTTTGTTAGTTTGCTTGGGACAGAAATTTTAAAAGGTAAGCATTTTCTCCCCCCACCCCCCACACCACACGCACACATCAGATATCCAAACCTCTGTTAAGGGAAAGATTAATAGAATATCTCTGCTTTGCAACATGTTTGGCTACTAGAGAATCTTTCCTCTATATCTCTATCGCAGGGGGTGGGGTGAATGATTCTTTTTCTCTTCACCTTTTCCCCCATTGTGTATCATAAACACATTGTAATGTTTACATTACAGGCTAAATTCAGGGTTGACATGATGTTGATGGATTATTGACGTAATGCATGTACCATTGTTATGAATAGGGGAACACCCCCATCTCAACCCTAGGGTGAGACGAGGGTTTCTCTTACCCTGGACAGGGATATCCACCATTTTACCGGTGTGAGATTTTCTTATCTCACCCTAGGGTTGAGACAAGCTACACATGTTCTTTGCATGTTCTCAACAATTTTATGACGTCATAGCAACACTACCATGACGTCACGGCAACAATACAATGGCGTCACATCGACAATTCAGGCGCATCACATCAACATTGTCTTGCATTGATGTAACGTAGATATAAAATACAAGTGTAAACAGGATAAGAGAAAAATAATCATTCACCCCCTTGGGAGTGAGACGGGTGATCTCAACCCTCGGGTTAAGATTACCCTGTCTCACCCCCAAGGGGGTGAAAGATTCAATTAAAATTGCACCTGTAAAAGTGGATAAACCTGTCCAGGATAAGATAAATATCTTGTCTTGCCCTAGGGTAAAGATAGGGGATTCCCTTGTCATAATAATTGCATGTCACTTCAACAGCAGCAGATCATGGAAGAAAACTGATCTACTGGAAATAATAGAAAAACATTTGCATTTCATGAATTTACTACTTGTATTTGATGTGTGCCCTACCCCTCCCGTATAGCTATTTCGGGAACAGCTCTTGCTCATATTACAGTAGTCATGACTTTGTCAACATGTTCTTGTATATGTTTTCAGTGACCAGGGATGGAAGAGTAAATTGAATCTTCCTCCTAAAGATACCCGTTTAAAGACTACTGTAAGTATAAACTAGAGAAATTGCTGTACATTTGTAATCGGGTAAAACACAATAATGGGCCCAACTGTGTGCTCTGACAGTGAAAAATTCGGGTTCTTCAAATAATGAATGCTTGGTATTTTATGAAAGTTTGATATTTGAAGCTTACAAAACCTAAATGGTTAGTAATTGTGTAATCTATAAGTTCGTGTCTTGAAATGCAATAATAAAAAACTGGTTAATATTTGAAATGTTTGATTGGTGTTTCGTCAGTTAAACTGCATTTAGTACATGTATACAAGCCATGATTTGCTTTTAGTTAATCATGGTTTTACCAAAAAACAAATGTACTGCAAAAATGTTTAGGCTTTATATATATCCATATTGTGGAAGACTGGTAAGGAATATTGATTTTAACTTGGGTTTATTATCCAGATCAAGCAAACAAACCAACAATTATGTGAAATATATAGTAGATCCCAATTGTTAATCAAAACTTGTCTGTCAATGCAGGATGTTACAAACACGAAAGGAAATGAGTTTGAGGACTTTTGTCTGAAAAGGGAACTCCTTATGGGTATATTTGAGAAGGGCTGGGAACAACCATCACCCATTCAAGAAGCAAGCATCCCCATTGCCCTTACAGGGCGCGACATTCTAGCTCGAGCTAAGAATGGTACTGGAAAGACTGGTGCATACACCATTCCAATCATAGAAAGATGTGACACCGGTCGCAACGAGGTACAAGGTATGTAACACATCCAGTCAGTATTCTCATTAAAAGCTGATCGCCAAAATGTATAAGTACATTCAAACAAAACTCTTGTAAATATCTTTTGTTTATCAACAGGGGTGTTGTATAAGTTCAAATAAAGAACACTATATGAGAGCTTTGTTTTGACAAAATTGACTACTACGATGTATAGATCTCTGCTCTAAAATTGTAAAAAAAAATGCTGGCCTGATCAAAATCCACTTAAAGGATTGCAATTCATCTATATTTTATTTACATATCCCCATTGATGATGAAAACACAATTCCAGTTCTGCTTCTGAAGGCATTGATAATTTGTTTTGATGGATTGGGAAAACATGTTAATTATAATTCTAACATGGTATTTCGTGCAGCAGTGTTCTTGGTAGGGTCCAAGTCAAATTCTTTATAAAAAAATCAACAAGATCTTGAAATATATCATAATAACTGGTCAGCCAGCGATATTCTTGGCCTAGTTTTACATCCAAAAACGGGCTGTTTCCCTAGCAAGAAAGTGCTGTATTTTTCCAAAAAAAAAGAAATATTGAGAAATATGTTCCCAAATCAACGAAAATAATGCTACATTTTCCCAATTCATGAAGGAACAGGCTGTTATAAAATTTAAGTAGAAAAGACACAAGTCAGTTGTGCTATAAAATATTTTCTATAGATAACTTTAAATTTGAACCCATGGTTATTTGTGAAAAGGAGAGCATGTTTTATTGTTGCAGCCCTTGTGATAGTTCCCACCCGAGAGTTGGCTCTACAGACCAGTCAGATTTGTATTGAGATAAGTAAACACATTGGATGTAAAGTGATGGTCACAACAGGAGGAACCAACCTTAAGGACGACATAATGAGATTATATGAACCTGGTAAGGGCAGGATTGTATTGTATAATAAGTGTTTTTTTAATTTGTGGATGAGTGTACTGAAAATCTAGAGTCGTCAACACAGTGTTGTGTTACTATAGCCTCAAAAAAACATGTTTAGGGCCTTGTTTGCAGTTGAGGAGATACTGAAGAATTAATTGATTCAGTACTATATAAACAAGTGTATAGCAAAAACCTCTAGTCTTTCAGGTAATGATCAAAGTGTGTTAGAATGTTTCATGATCCATTGTTCAAAGTTTTATTTCATGTGCATGTTTTATGAATATACTGTTCAGATTGCGACTGATTTTGTTAGCTTCTTCATGAAAAGTACAGGTCTTCAATGCTTATTTCAGGAATATTAACTAAGACAAACGTTTAAATTGATGTGTCCTTCACATTTGTTTTCAGTCCACATTATCATTGCCACACCCGGCAGAATTCTAGACTTGATGAACAAACGATTAGTGAAGATTGGAAAATGTGGCATGCTTGTTCTGGATGAGGTTTGTTGCGCATTACGTAAAAACCGGTTACAAATTACAGAAAAACAAAACTGATTCTAGTTATTCAGTTTACAGGTTCTAGAACATAACAACAAACCATAGACTTGGATCATTTGTTGATAAACAGTGCTCAGTTGTCTACTCGGACAAAATTATATCACAGTATGCTTTAGTTCACTTTGGACAATTCTAGTTGATTTTTGGGGTGCAAGTCTGCCTACAAATACTAGAAATAAATTTGTTGATACCAGCCGAAGTATATGCTCTTATCATTTATAAACAATTCAGTTTGTTCCCTGTGATGATGAATACCAAATTATCAGTTCTGCTTCTGAAAGCAATGATGATTCACTATTCTGATGGCATTGGGAAAACTGAGAGATATATGGAGCTGTTGTCATTTGTTTAAAAAATCAACAAAGTTAGAAATGTCATTCTAAAAGCTAACTCTAAAAACCAAATTAACAATATAATTACATAGTGCCATTACTATTAATGAATTATTTGTTGTAACAGGGAGTTATCTGGCAATTTGATTTTTTTTAAGGATGAAATCTTTAAGAGAACTAATAGTATAGCTATTAGTATCCCAGACCATAGCTCAAAGCAATCACAATCCATTGTTTCTGTTCCAGGCGGACAAACTGCTGTCTCAGGATTTCAAGGGGATGTTGGACAACATTATCAGCCACCTACCCAACAACAGACAAATACTCCTGTACTCTGCTACCTTCCCTCTCAGCGTTGAGCAGTTCATGGTGGGTATCTAAAATATATCAATTGGAAAAAGGAATTTAAATTTGATCATTGTTTTGGTGTTTCCAGAAACCAATGCAAGTCATTTTAATATCTGATTAATGATCATGGGGTTCCCTAATATAAAATATGTTGACAACCAAATATTTGGTTAATGATTATGGGGTTCCCTTGTATGAAAGTTGTAGGCAACCAAATATTTGGTTAATGATTATGGGGTTCCCTTGTTTGAAAGTTGTTTGCAACCAAATATTTCCCATATACATGATGAATACCAAATATCAGTTCTGCTTCTGAAGTTTTTGATGATTCTTGTTCTGATGGTATGGGAATGATTTAGTTGATTTAAGCTACTTTTACTTTTACGTTGATGTCTGTCTGTCAATTTTTCGTTTGTTTGCTGTTGTTTCCTTTTAAATGATAATTTTCCTTTTTTGGCTAAATGTGTTTTTGCTGCAAGTAAGAAATGGCTTTGTCACAAACTTGTAAAAGTAACGGTGATAACTAGTAGGGATAATGCCAGGAACTACTAGTAGGGATAATGCCAGGAACATAGATGTTATATTACATGGTATCTGGTCCAGCTGAACAGTAAGGCCAACCAAATGACCTAGTAATTTTGTTTCAGTTTTTGGCTCTGCAAAATTACTCCAAAAGTAGGTGGACTGACAAAACTTTTTAATTTATTAACAAAAGGCTTTTTCTGAATCTCGCAATGCTTGCCTAAAATTGTGAAAATTAGAAGGGTAGGCTCAGCTGTAAAAAGGTTGAGAGGAGACGGGGAAAGCAGAAACAAACATTCATATGGCCTGGGAAAATTTTCTTGAATACGAAGATATTGTGCAGGTTGTTACCAAGTTCTTAGCTTGCGCTCTAAAATGCCCTCAACCCTTAAAGGTTGGTTGCTAAATTAGCTCATGTAAAGCATTCACACTAGCAACACGGACTTGGGAGTCTGTTGGAAATTGTAGAACAAGGAAGATTAAAAATGTATCAATAAATTTTGGTACAGACTCGCCATATCTCTAGTAATGCATTACCATTAGGTGAACATATTTTGGACCTTCACAATTATTTACGTGTTTTTGTAATGCTCTTTAATCCTGTTTATCATATACAATTACTATATATAAAAGAATATTACGACACAGGTTCACAAATCGAGTGACTTAACTCATTCACCCCTGAAGACACATTTGAACTCATCCAATTCAAAGGTTGAAATAGTTCATTAAGAAATTTCAGGGGTGAATGAGTTAAAAATGTTTCAGTGCTCACCCGTCGTGTAAAATTTAGATTTGTGTTGAAATACTTATACTCACATTCTATTTGAGAACTAAAAGTCCATCTGAAAGAATAAACTAGCACCAAAGCCAACTTTCCCATATACATGATGAATACCAAATATCAGTTCTGCTTCTGAAGTCCTTGATGATTCTTGTTCTGATGGTATGGGAATTATTTAGTGGAACTTCTTGCTTCTTGAAACATCAATGGTAATTCTAAATAAGACCTGATCTGAGGTAAACACTGGGTTCTATTTATGTTTGGATGCTGCTGTTACCTTTCCTGATTAATACTGTGCCCATGATCCCTGGCATATCCCTTGACTTGTTAACAAAGCTCGCTCGATATCGACTCTTCTTTTCTTTAATATTTCCCACTTATGATGATGAACACAAAATTTTCAGTTCTGCTTCTGATAGTATTGATGATTCTTGTTCTGAGAATGTGGGGACATTTCAATATGAACTGTTGTCACAGTATTAAAGTTGTTTTAGTAAATTTTACTCGGCAATTCATTCCCACTGGATTGTTGAAAACTATGGGTCCCGCTATGTTGAAATGTCAGTATTTTCAGAAAATTGTAGGAGTGCCATCAAAAATCTTACAGGTCTCTAGTCTTTCATTCAGATTCATCACTTGTTTCTCAGAATAAAGACCTGGCATAGATAATAGTGTAGGTTACACTTAAAAGCTTAATAAATGTAAAATACAAGTAATATCTATTTATATCTAGTTCTTGCACAGATTACTTTTCAAAATGTACAAGTTTCAGTGAAACATGTGCTGGCTTGAGTTTCAAAGGTTTAAATTCAGTTTAGAATTGTCCCCAATTATCACACACAACAAACTTAATTTTCTTTTGCTTCCCATTAATCATGATGAATACACAAATTTCAGTTCTGCTTCTGATCAGAATGATGATTCTTTGTTCTGATGACATGGGAACACTAGATTGTCCACTCTTCTAAAAAAGGAATGTATTAAACTGTTAATTTTACAAAAATTGATGAGTTTACAGGCTTAATAGTATAATTTTTGGACACACTCTGTTACAAGTTCTGACTCGAGTTTTGGAGGCCCTTCTTCAAATTGTTGCTTATAGCAAACATATTTTCTCCCTGATAAACATTTTCTATACATCATCTTTGCTGTATACAAAGTTAAATAGTTTTGTTTGTTCCCTGAGCTTGGTTTGATATAAATATGTTTAGCTGCTCTCGTTTATGTATTTGAAAATTTGAAATTTGAACTAAGTGTGATCAACTACTGAAAACAAACTGTTATATAATCATGGAGCAGATATCAACATATGTTTACCCTAATCTAAGCTGTATGGAAGTCATGAAATTATTAATTGAGCAAGATGTGTTGTTTAACAGGACAGTTCCCACAGATATGATGAACACAACAATTTCAGTTCTGCTTCTGATCAGCATGATGATTCTTTGTTCTGATGACATGGGAACATTAGATTGTCCACTCTTCTAAAAAAAGAATGCTTTATACAAAGTTAAATAGTTATGTTTGTTCCCTGAGATTGGTTTGATATAAATATGTTTAGCTGCTCTTGTTTATGTATTTGAAAATTTGAAATTTGAACTAAGTGTGATCAACTACTGAAAACAAACTGTTATATAATCATGGAGGAGATATCAACATATGTTTACCCTAATCTAAGCTGTATGGAAGTCATGAAATTATTAATTGAGCAAGATGTGTTGTTTAACAGGACAGTTCCCACAGATATGATGAACACCACAATTTCAGTTCTGCTTCCGATAGTATTGATGATTCTTGTTCTGAGACTGTGGGGAAATTTCAATATGAACTGTTATCACAATATTCAAGTTTTAGCAATTACTCGGCAAGTCATTTACTTTAATGTTGTCAAGTCCTTCCCACTGGATTAATAAAATCTTTGGGTCCCGCTATGTTAAAATGTCAGTATTTTCAGAAAATTGTCGGAGTGCCATCAAAAATCTTACAGGACTCTTAGTCTTTCATATTTCGATTCATGAAAATATTAATTGATCAAGATTTGTTGTTTTAACACGACAGTTCCCACAGATATGATGAACACAACAATTTCATTTCTGCTTCTGATAGTATTGATGATTCTTGTTCTGAGAATGTGGGGACATTTCAATATGAACTGTTGTTGTCACAGTATTCAAGTTTTAGCAATTACTCGGCAATTCATGTACTTTAATGTTGTCGAGTCCTTACTACTGAATTATTGAAAACTATGGGTCCCGCTATGTTGAAATGTCAGTATTTTCAGAAAATTGTAGGAGTGCCATCAAAAATCTTACAGGACTCTTAGTCTTTCATATTTCGATCCATGAAAATATTAATTGATCAAGATTTGTTGTTTTAACACGACAGTTCCCACAGATATGATGACCACAACAATTTCAGTTCTGCTTCTGATCAGAATGATGATTCTTTGTTCTGATGACATGGGAACATTAGATTGTCCACTCTTCTAAAAAAAGAATGCTGTATACAAAGTTAAATAGTTTTGTTTGTTCCCTGAGCTTGGTTTGATATAAATATGTTTAGCTGCTCTCGTTTATGTATTAGAAAATTTGAAATTTTAACTAAGTGTGATCAACTACTGAAAACAAACTGTTATATAATCATGGAGGAGATATCAACATATGTTTACCCTAATCTAAGCTGTATGGAAGTCATGAAATTATTAATTGAGCAAGATGTGTTGTTTAACAGGACAGTTCCCACAGATATGACGAACACAACAATTTCAGTTCTGCTTCTGATCAGCATGATGATTCTTTGTTCTGATGACATGGGAACATTAGATTGTCCACTCTTCTAAAAAAAGAATGCTTTATACAAAGTTAAATAGTTATGTTTGTTCCCTGAGATTGGTTTGATATAAATATGTTTAGCTGCTCTTGTTTATGTATTTGAAAATTTGAAATTTGAACTAAGTGTGATCAACTACTGAAAACAAACTGTTATATAATCATGGAGGAGATATCAACATATGTTTACCCTAATCTAAGCTGTATGGAAGTCATGAAATTATTAATTGAGCAAGATGTGTTGTTTAACAGGACAGTTCCCACAGATATGATGAACAGAACAATTTCAGTTCTGCTTCCGATAGTATTGATGATTCTTGTTCTGAGAATGTGGGGACATTTCAATATGAACTGTTGTCGTCACAGTATTCAAGCTGTTTTAGCAAATTTTACTCAGCAGTTCATCTACTTTAATGTTGTCAAGTCCTTCCCACTGGATTAATAAAATCTTTGGGTCCCGCTATGTTAAAATGTCAGTATTTTCAGAAAATTGTAGGAGTGCCATCAAAAATCTTACAGGTCTCGTAGTCTTTCATATTTCGATCCATGAAAATATTAATTGATCAAGATTTGTTGTTTTACAAAGACAGTTCCCACAGATATGATGAACACCACAATTTCAGTTCTGCTTCTGATCAGCATGATGATTCTTTGTTCTGATGACATGGGAACATTAGATTGTCCACTCTTCTAAAAAAAGAATGCTTTATACAAAGTTAAATAGTTATGTTTGTTCCCTGAGATTGGTTTGACATAAATATGTTTAGCTGCTCTCGTTTATGTATTAGAAAATTTGAAATTTTAACTAAGTGTGATCAACTACTGAAAACAAACTGTTATATAATCATGGAGGAGATATCAACATATGTTTACCCTAATCTAAGCTGTATGGAAGTCATGAAATTATTAATTGAGCAAGATGTGTTGTTTAACAGGACAGTTCCCACAGATATGATGACCACAACAATTTCAGTTCTGCTTCTGATAGTATTGATGATTCCTGTTCTGAGAATGTGGGGAAAATTCAATATGAACTGTTGTCGTCAGAGTATTCAAGTTGTTTTAGCAAATTTTACTCAGCAGTTCATCTACTTTAATGTTGTCAAGTCCTTCCCACTGGATTAATAAAATCTTTGGGTCCCGCTATGTTAAAATGTCAGTATTTTCAGAAAATTGTAGGAGTGCCATCAAAAATCTTACAGGTCTCGTAGTCTTTCATATTTCGATTGATGAAAATATTAATTGATCAAGATTTGTTGTTTTAGCAAGACAGTTCCCACAGATATGATGAACACCACAATTTCAGTTCTGCTTCTGATAGTATTGATGATTCTTGTTCTGAGAATGTGGGGAAATTTCAATATGAACTGTTATCACAATATTCAAGTTTTAGCAATTACTCGGCAATTCATTTACTTTAATGTTGTCGAGTCCTTCCTACTGAATTATTGAAAACTATGGGTCCCGCTATGTTGAAATGTCAGTATTTTCAGAAAATTGTAGGAGTGCCATCAAAAATCTTACAGGTCTCTAGTCTTTCATTCAGATTCATCACTTGTTTCTCAGAATAAAGACCTGGCATAGATAATATTGTAGGTTACACTTAAAAGCTAAATAAATGTCAAACTCAAATACAAGTAATATCTATCTATATCTAGTTCTTACACAGATTACTTTTCAAAATGTACAAATTTCAGTGTAACATGGGCTGGCTTGAGTTTCAAAGGTTTAATTGGATTGAAATTCAGTTTAGAATTTTCCCCAATTATCACACACAACAAACTTAATTTTCTTTTGCTTCCCATTAATCATGATGAATACACAAATTTCAGTTCTGCTTCTGATCAGAATGATGATTCTTTGTTCTGATGACATGGGAACATTAGATTGTCCACTCTTCTAAAAAAAGAATGCTGTATACAAAGTTAAATAGTTTTGTTTGTTCCCTGAGATTGGTTTGATATAAATATGTTTAGCTGCTCTTGTTTATGTATTTGAAAATTTGAAATTTGAACTAAGTGTGATCAACTACTAAAAACAAACTGTTATTTAATCATGGAGCAGATATCAACATATGTTTACCCTAATCTAAGCTGTGTGGAAAGTCATGAAATTATTAATTGATGAAGATGTGTTGTTTAACAAGACAGTTCCCACAGATATGATGAACACAACAATTTCAGTTCTGCTTCTGATAGTATTGATGATGCTTGTTCTGATGTGGGAAAATACAATTAAACTTTAAAATGTTCTAAATAAGTTCTGAAATTGGAAATGAGCTGTGAAACAAGCAACTGTGGTATTGAATATATATATATATATATAAATACAAACCAATGAAATAATAGAGGGGTGGATTTAACTCATTCACCCCTGAAGACACCTTTGAACTCTCATCCAATTCAAAGGTTGGAATAGTTCATTTTGAAATTTCAAGGGTGAATTTAAGTTAATTTGTGACAAAACAAGAATAAATCTGCTTTGATGTAGTGATAGTTTAGCTTTTTCTGAGTTTCTTTTGAGAGATAATTATTTTATTTTAAATATCAAAATTGATTGAAAGAGGCGTTTCATGCATCACTAAAAGAGAAAAGATTTTCTAGCTGGACTTGTTAAAAAAAATCACAATTTCTTACAGAGGAAGCACCTCGACAGCCCCTATGAAATCAACTTGATGGACGAGCTGACGCTGAAGGGAGTTACCCAGTATTATGCTTTTGTTCAGGAGAAACAGAAGGTTCACTGTCTCAACACACTGTTCTCAAAGGTGGGTGATACTATTATTGAAGACTGTTGCAGCAATTTGTAATATTGACTGTTGTGCTTCAACTTCTACTGCTGTTGTGAAAATATTGCATTAGTTTTGCTACAGTCCTCTACTATTGTAATGGTATTCATTTCAAGACAAATACAACTGATATACTTTTAAAATGACTGTATATATTATATTTTATGTATTTTACTTATCCTTCATTATGAATAAATAGTGTAATGTTAAATGAGCTGATTCATCTTTGGAAAATCCCTTTGGAGCAGCCTCTTTTAGGTATCCATACAACATAGGTAAACTTATATTCCAATCATGAGAAATCAGTAATGCTACATCTGAGAATTTACAAAACTATCATCTGTGGTGATTAAAAACTTAATTTTGACAGTTACCATATAGGGCAAATTCCTATTTGAAACCAACCCTTATTTGAGTATTTATAATTGGAAAGCCGTTAAAGGCATCTTTCAAGAGGGAATGATCATTTGATGTAAAAAAAAAAAATAAAAAAAAATGGAGCTAAGCTCACAGTAGGTGATCATATAAGCAGTATTGAATGTTATTTTGTGTCTTTTCACTTTCAGTTACAAATCAACCAGTCCATCATCTTTTGTAATTCCACAAATCGTGTGGAACTTCTAGCCAAAAAGATCACAGAACTTGGTTACTCTTGCTTCTACATCCACGCCAAGATGAACCAGCAACACAGAAACAGAGTCTTCCATGACTTCAGGCAGGGACTCTGTAGGAATCTAGTGTGCTCAGGTAAGGCTCCAGGCAGGGATTCTTTAGGAATCTAGTGTACTCAGGTAAGGCTTCAGGCAGGGACTCTGTAGGACTATAGTGTGCTCAGGTAAGGCTTCAGGCAGGGACTCTGTAGGAATCTAGTGTGCTCAGGTAAGGCTTCAGGCAGGGATTCTTTAAGAATCTAGTGTGCTCAGGTAAGACTGCAGGCAGGGACTCTGTAGGAATCTTGTGTGCTCGGGTAAGGCTTCAGGCAGGGACTCTGTAGGAATCTAGTGTGCTCGGGTAAGGCTTCAGGCAGGGACTCTGTAGGAATCTTGTGTGCTCGGGTAAGATTGGTTGGTTGACGGGTTTTGCGCCTACATGAATCCGCCCTTACAGGTTTCATCTCACTGACAGAAGTCAGTGTTCTGTCGACGTTTCGGGTAAGACTACAGGCAGGGATTTTATAGGAATCTAGTGTGCTCGGGTAAGACTGCAGGCAGGGACTCTGTAGGAATCTTGCATGCACAATGAATTTTACAGACATGTTATCTGTAGAAATATTGTAAGTTTTTTTTTAACAAATTAGATGTACTCTGGTAAATCCAGTTAGGGATAATCATATTCCAGAATTCGGTATGGGGGGAAAAGGTTGGGGAGACATTCTTAAATTGTAACTGCCCACTAGAACAATGTAAATGATATTTTTGACCCAATGTCTCATTCATTATCCAAAGTGACTTCTGGCATTTATATCAGAACATGAGAAGTCTGACTATTTTCTCGGGAAATCTGATGAGGATGTCAAGATTTCAGTGAAGACTATCAATATGCAAAGTAGTTGTTACACCTGCAAACCAATTTTCAATGAAGAGTCATGTTCCTTTATGTAAAACATACGAATATTTCTTTGAGAACAATGCATAGGTTTCAAGGAAACTTTGAACACTTTCAATATAAAAGGTAATATGTTAACTATGCAATCTAGTTTTTATTGTGAATGACATTAATCTATGAACATGAAGAGCTTTTCCTTGGGTGGTATTAGTTTGGGGCTTGGCTTGAGAACTAGTTCTAGTAAATTCTTAGATTCCTCTTGACAAGTCTGATACCAATAAATCATTTGTGTATTAATGATTCTTTATTTTGTAGATTTGTTCACGAGAGGAATTGACATCCAGGCTGTGAATGTTGTTATCAACTTTGATTTCCCCAAGCACGCAGAGACATATCTCCACAGGATTGGTAGATCTGGTCGGTATGGCCACCTTGGAGTCGCCATCAACCTCATTACTTACGATGACAGGTACTTGTCAATTTAGTTCTTACTTAGACACATCTGTCAGTTTATATGACAGGACATTTTATATGATAAACACTCCAATTCATAACAGTTTTCACCTTGATGGTATATTAATGCCTATAATTTAGGTCTATTTGAATAATGACTTGAAATGCTTTCTTTAGGACTGCTGAGATAGACCCATTATCAGAACTCATTATATGTTTAAATAAAAACCCAGAAGGTGATATTTTCAAGAATGATAAAATTGTGTACCCAATATCATCTCTATCCTAATATACATATTCAATTAGAGTGTTATTACTAATTATCCAAACATAGTGATGGGCTAGACTTTGCCAATGATACTTCAATGATCTGGACTTGTTAGCAAGTGAGAATTTGGTAAGATGTGTCTAGGTGGTTGGGGGGTTTGGGTGTTTCTTGTTCATACAGAGACTGTCTTACCATAACTAATTAAAACTTTTATCTTTTTCCATTTTCTCCCAGAACGTAACATTGTAATAGAGGCATAAAACATTACCATTTTGCATTTTGTTTGAAAATGTAAAGCAACATTTTCAAATTTAACTAGAGTGCAAAATGTTCTTACAGTTCTAGTTTTTTCACCAGTTGTGCTGTTAGTTGAACTAAGTTGAACTAAGCACTCGGAACATAATAAACACCAGACATGAAAATCTGAGATCTGATCTATAGCAGAAATAAACCTGTCTAAAACACTGCAACATTAATTCTGTACCTTTTATAATAGTAAAAATTGTTAAATGTGTATATTTCCTGTCTTAATTTTGTTCCGAGATGTTTTTTTGCCAGATGTGATTTTACTACCGTTTTGGGATATGTGCAAGGACATGCGTCTACTACAATTGAATTTATTAATTTTTGAAATATACTAAATCTTTAAATGTATTGTAACATTTTGTTTGTAGGTTTTCATTACACAGAATTGAGAGTGAGCTGGGCACAGAGATCAAACCAATCCCAAAGAATATAGACAAATCCTTGTATGTGGCCGAGTTCCACCAGGAGAGGGATGAAGATGATGATGATGTCCCGCACAACTCCCATGGGGCTAAGGGAGGACAATGATCAGCCTTTACCTCGCCCCAAACTGCTATCTCACCAATACTTCTCTAGGTCACCAACATGCTTTGAACTGTGATACAGACAGCTGTGTGTCCTGGTAGATGCATTATTGTGGCAGATTTACTTCTGACCAAAATATTTGTTATTTTGATGAGCTGATCCTGTCTTTTCAGTTCGTTAATGATATAGAGATTTCTATATAATGATTGTTAGACCAGTTCTGGATAACAAAACAGCTGAAGGATGACGATTGTTGCAGATTTCTATATAATGATTGTTAGACCTGTTCTGGATAACAAACAGCTGAAGGATGACGATTGTTGCCAAATAGGTTTACATCCGATCTGAGGGGTGAACCACTAGGCAAAAAAGTACTTTTAAGGCCATCACATCATAGCCACGGTGGATTCCCCCTCCTTATACATACTTCTGTGCTCGATGAGGATAGTGGTATTCAAAGAGTTTTTGTCCAACAAAAAAGTAGTGCTCCTTTCATTTTATCTAGACAGAGAATTCTTTAGTGTGTATTGCCTAGATAAATAAGTGCTCCTATAACTTAACATTAACGACGTTCTCAGCATTTTGTCAGATGATGTCTTTTTTTCATGCTCTCTCGATTTTGTTCAATTTTTTATTTTAATTTTTTATCTAACAAATTACGAAGAAAAAATCAGAAAGAATGATATCTATGCGATATACAAAAGAATCAAACTGAGTTGAAATATATATTTTGAGAATATTAAACAGGACAATGCTTGTCAACATTTTGACAAGAAAGCAAAATGCTGAAACCAATAACACTCAGAATTCAAATGTAAAGCAGCATGATATTGAAGGTGAAGTTAAGTGGGTTGTAGGCCAGTTTTTGGCTTGTCGGATATCAAGACAAAATGCTGAGGATTTGGGATGTTGATAATAGTGATGAAAATGTATAATAAATGTTATGATTTTGTACAGTTTTAGGCAGGTCAGCCGTACCTGTTTTGGGAGGTGCTTAGCAGCAACCGTCATATCAGTGTTTGTCCAGGGAGGACAATTGTTTTGTTAAGTGAACATTTTGTCAGTGATGGTTTGTTGTTGGATGAAGCTGTCACTTTGCCAGCTCGTTGATGTAGAACCCCTTCCACTACTGCCAACTCATATCGCCACCATAGAAACCATGAGAGTAAATGTGTACTAGAAATGAATACGAGAGAGAAAGATTAGTTTTGTGAGAATGTTACAATGTAGAATTTGTAATACGGTGGTGTACTGTCTTGACTATTGGGTTTGAAATATGGCTGATTGGTTATGATTCTGTATATTACCCAACCAAGTCCTATTAATCATAATGGAAGAAAATTACTCAATAAGAAAAGAAGTGGATGTCGAGAGCTTTCTTATTGCAATATCTGGAAATTCTGTCATATATTGTAATAAATTGTGTGTGCAGAGAGTTTAAGAAACTTTTGGAAACTTTTTAATTCCTCAAGTATTTCCCATAAACCATATTAAGATAAGTGCTAAAAGTTTCAATTTAGTTTTTCTTTTCTTTTTTCTATTTAATTGGGTTTCCTTTTATTGTTTCGGTCCTTTCTCTTGCTGTAGCAGATGTAGTTAAGGTAATATATCAATGGGCAAAGTGAATACTTGCATACACTGGAGTAAAACAGCATGTGCTTAGATCAGAAATGTTGTGCAGTGGTGTACATTGTTCTCGCTAAATTTTGAAACAGGGATCTGACTTTGAAAGAATAACTGTTCAAATGGTCACATGCTATAATATTGACACATGAAAAAAAAAATTGGCAGTTCCAAGTTGATGAATAGAAAGCAAAATTTGCTAGCAACTTTTAATGAAAACATTTGTGTATAGTTGGTCCCTGTAGAGAAACTGGAGAGTAATGCTTTTTCTCAAAGACTACAGTCATCACTGTTCCTGATTACGAAATCATTTCCAGCCTATTCTGATGACTAATATCAGATTCTGGACTCTGTGATGCTGTTTTTAATAAGAACTAATTCTGTCTAGACTCTGGTATATGGACTTATTCAAAGGCTTACCTTTTTTGATTATTTGAATTAAGCATGTTATGCGGTTTTTTTGCAAACTTCATAAAATGTCTTATAAAACTTGAAAAAATGGCAGCTATTTTCATGTCGGTAGACTGAATTATGAAGAGCAATTGTTTGTACCTGATGCAACGTAGAACTGTTTCAAACAAAAAACTTAGAAAATTTTGATTGATTCTCGGCGAAAACAGTTTCCGATGTGCATTTATCAGAGAATGTAATGTAATGTAGAACGGATAAGAAAAATCCAATTTTCAGCCTTTTTACTCGTAAACCCATTTGCTGCTCGTGAGTTATACAGTCAAGACACTAAACCACAATGTATTATAAAATATGAAGATATTTGTGATGAGAATGTATTTTTACAATGTAATTGTTTGACTTGGTTGGTTGCGATATATTTGTGTTGTGTCAGTTGGCATTGTGGGAGAGAATGTGTCATGCGTCTGTACATAGTCATCACATCCATCATCGGGGATCGCTACAGAGTTATATTTATACATTGTCATTTGGAAATAATCATGATATGCAACGACCAGCGGTATTCTAGGCATAATCGTCATTGATGTGATGGAGTAGTGTGTACTACCTGCTTGCCAAGACCTCTACATATTAGTATGTCTGCAGTGTGGCCTAGGTGAAGAATATAACCAGATTTTACAATTGGTCAGTGCTGACACATGTATTCCTGACTATTATCAATCTGGTATAGCTAAAAGTAATGGCAAAAGGAAGTGAGTGCTTTGTGCATTTCTCCATAAACAGTTTGGCCATGCAAAGCTAAAAAGACGAGAAACTTCAACCTTAAAAAGTTTAAAAGCTGTAAAATTTGAAGAAACCTGAAAGAAATTGAGTGGTTGTCTTAATTCCTAAATACAAAAAGTGGACAATGGAAATATTCAAGCACTGTGTGGTCGTTTGGAGTCGCTCCACCTCGGACTGGGACATTTTGAGGATAATGTGCAAGTGCATCAATAACTTAACGAAAGACATTTGTGTGTACCATTGCAGCAGTGTAGGAGAGTTGCTGGCTGTGGAAGGAGTTGTGGAGAATGTTGCATGCTGCCGTCCCCACGACCTCCTAGCCTGTCCTCCTCTCATAAGTCCAGATAGAAACTGGCATCGTTTACAGGCAGCTTTCACACACACCTAGGGGGACCGCTTAGTCTCCGCCTGGACCTGCCCAAACTAAAATGGCCGCCAGGATCGTCTCATTAACTCAAAAGTGATAGGGCCATGTCAAAGGGCTCTTTATTAAAGAGGAGTTAGCCATACCTGACCTTTGACGCGAATGCCAAAACAAAACTACACATTTAATTAATAAATGCAAAACTTCTGGTCAGTTTCCTGAAAAGGAGATTGTTCTGTGCTCAGTTAAAAAGTGCAGGGATATGTAGAATGAGAGCGAGCGTGCTGTGGTATATAAGGAATGTGTAGGACCATAGAGATGTAACCGTGCTGATAAATGGCTGTGTTCATGAGGAATGAGTGTTCAGTGTTTGATGTTGAGTGTTGTGAGCTGAATTAACTACAAAATATGCTGCCATGCAGGTAGTGTATTTGATCTGTTGTGAAGAATTATGACTTGAATCAAGAAAGTAGTGTATTGGATCATTTTGTGGAGTTTTGTTTGCATATTTCTTATGTTAATTTCTTTTTATATAAATTGCAATAAAAGTTTTGCAGTTTATTGGGGATGATATTGGTAAGATAATTGTAAATTTCTGACTTCATTAGGAAAAAGTGGAATGATGTTGACACCACAATAGCAGCAAAATATGATTTGATCTAGTTACATAATTTAATCTGTGCTCTTGTTCAGGGTATGGAATGAAGAAAATAGAAAGGATCCCCTCCCCACCAGCAGGTGAACATGTGGGCCATAATATATAACATTTTTAGGATTGTTTATTGATGATATTATATTAGTCAATATACTGTAGTATTGACAAAGGTTATAAAAAGGAACTTTCAAGATGTAGATACATTCTACATTAAAATGCAGGAGATATATTTCAATAAATTATGAACTTAAGGCTTTAGTTAAATAGAATGATTACTTGCAGCTTTTCAATTTCTGTATGTACAGTAATGCACTTTTTTTTTACATAAGATTTAAGGACGATGGAGGTAGAGGGGTGGGGGTATTTATTAGAAAAACTTGTTCAATACATTGGGTGATTTTGAAAGATTTATTTAAGTATTCCTGTTTTATATGTAATAAGAAAGTCCAACTTTTATTTGAAGTATTTAAATCTACTGATAGGCTGAGAATGCAGGACCTGGATTAAGATGACAAGTTGTGAACTTGTAAAATTTTAAAACCACAAAGGCAGCTGTATGTAGTGGTCAGGTATTTGGCAAGGTTAAGTTCAATGTTGATCCATCATTTGATGTTTTCTAGAGGCAGTGATCCTGATTTTGAGTCTTATGTACAATGCACAGAGATGATAGTTTGTTAAACATTTGACCTGTTGACAGGTGTAACTAGAGTATTACTTCCTGTCTCTTATGTGTCTGCTTCTTGAAGGGTAATTATCAAAATATGTCTCAATATTGACACAGAAATCTTGTAAAATTGTAGAGACATGCAACAATTTTTTTCTATAAAAAAGGGCCTGGCTTTTGTTGTGCAAGTAGTTTTTTTCTTGCATACCAGACTGAAATAGCTACATTTCAATCAGTGCTAGCTAGTCAATTCAAAACAAACTATGTGCCCAAATTTCTTGCTCGTGCAAAATGTCAAGGGAGGTAACTTGTGCTTTCTTCACATCTTCTTTTCTCTCTCCTGTATGCTTTAAAACGGGAGATGTTCGATTAAGAGGGAAAAGGAAAAAAGGCTTGTCGNCTTGCAGCTTTTCAATTTCTGTATGTACAGTAATGCACTTTTTTTTTACATAAGATTTAAGGACGATGGAGGTAGAGGGGTGGGGGTATTTATTAGAAAAACTTGTTCAATACATTGGGTGATTTTGAAAGATTTATTTAAGTATTCCTGTTTTATATGTAATAAGAAAGTCCAACTTTTATTTGAAGTATTTAAATCTACTGATAGGCTGAGAATGCAGGACCTGGATTAAGATGACAAGTTGTGAACTTGTAAAATTTTAAAACCACAAAGGCAGCTGTATGTAGTGGTCAGGTATTTGGCAAGGTTAAGTTCAATGTTGATCCATCATTTGATGTTTTCTAGAGGCAGTGATCCTGATTTTGAGTCTTATGTACAATGCACAGAGATGATAGTTTGTTAAACATTTGACCTGTTGACAGGTGTAACTAGAGTATTACTTCCTGTCTCTTATGTGTCTGCTTCTTGAAGGGTAATTATCAAAATATGTCTCAATATTGACACAGAAATCTTGTAAAATTGTAGAGACATGCAACAATTTTTTTCTATAAAAAAGGGCCTGGCTTTTGTTGTGCAAGTAGTTTTTTTCTTGCATACCAGACTGAAATAGCTACATTTCAATCAGTGCTAGCTAGTCAATTCAAAACAAACTATGTGCCCAAATTTCTTGCTCGTGCAAAATGTCAAGGGAGGTAACTTGTGCTTTCTTCACATCTTCTTTTCTCTCTCCTGTATGCTTTAAAACGGGAGATGTTCGATTAAGAGGGAAAAGGAAAAAAGGCTTGTCGATGTTACTCATTACTTTCAGGTATTTCGGCTCTATTCAATACTGTATCCCTTTGGATTAAAATGGCTTGTTCCTATTTCACATCGGGCATAGATTCTAGTAGAAAGGAGAGATGTTTATCATTGATTTACTGTTCAGGTAACAGTTTTTTTTTCATCAAACCAACAGACCATTTCATTGACACCAACAAAATCATTACACCAGTGACTGAGGAAGCACCGGTAACATCCTGGCTGATAAAGTCTCAATGGCACTATTGCTCCACTATCAAGTCAGCATTTTGGGCAATATCTTTCTGTATTAGAGTAATTCAAATATTTGGAACAGAGATGCCTATGTTAGCACTTACTCGTTTCTGAAGAATACTAACAAGAAAGCTATAGAGAAATCCATCATATGATAAAAGAAAGGTCAATGTTAGTAGAGGGAAATGGAATAGAAACTGGTCTGTTAGTTTGGTTGCTGTGTTGATCTCAGTTTATCCATATTTTGATCAAAGGGAATAACGAATAAAACAACCTAAATAATCCGGCATCATTGCTTGTGATGATGTGCCTAGAGCAGTAAAATGTTCACTTTGTCAAATCTGATGCATATTGGAATTTTGCTGTACAATCACATTTTGAAAAATGTATCTATTTCTGCTGTACAATGAAAATATTTATGGGAAGAGTAAATACACCTAAAGGGATTAGTTGTTTAAACATTGATAAGGATAAACAAGTATTTATTGGCTGGTTAAGATTTAGAAGTGAAATTGTATTAGGGGGTGTCCGTGTAGTAACAGACTAGTCAATAAAGACTAGTCAATTCAGATTTGTGTGTCTGTTTTTGTAAGCATTATGATGTTGTATGTAACTGACTTTGCACTGTCTGTGCCGTTTCATCCGAGGTTACTTGGTGCAGTGTTTAATACAAGGCCTGTCCTGTTCATTGTACTTTAACTTTATTTATTGCTGTTGTACAATTAATGTGCAATTTATTTTAATAGCAAATATTTAACCCTTTCACCCCTATGCAACTTTAGTAAACTCTACCATGCATTGATCTGGATGAGTCCATTAGGGTTTACAGTGGTGAAAGGGTTAACCCCAGCTTGTGACAAATTGGAGGAAAATAATGTACTTGGCACTTAGATTTTCATTCCACTCAATGTAAAAGAAAAATGTGATAGTCAAACAGGTGTCTTTATTTTGTCGGGCATTTATGGATCAATGCCAATAGAAATCCTATTACTAGTGCATACATCAAAACAAAGTTTCCTCTGGTTTGTCATAGCAATTGGGACCAACTATTGTTGAATCCCCAACATGTGTTTATGTAAGCCCCTAGGTCTATGATTTGAATGTGTTTTTAGAATAGAGTGAATTGTGCAGGAAATTCCTTATTACACACAATGTATGACACAGCTTTATTTTAGTTCCATAACTGTTTTTTCCGTTGTTGGGGATTTTACAATGTGTAGAGATGTCCTCAGTAAGACTGGACCCATCTTGTTCATGTACAGATCAAACACCTTGCCAAACTGCGATGTAGGTAGTGCTAAGGTTATGTAGGGATTAGTTTACGGAGAATGTGCTGGTTATGTCTGTATCTGTAGATTGGGCAGCAAATCCTACTCGGGGAGATACCTTGAATCTGTATTGCATTATCTTTTTAACAAGTTCTGTGCTAAGGCTTGCTTGGTGCTTATTGAGCTACAGATACTACAGTAAATAGACATGAAGTGGGAACTCTGTTTTAGAAAGAATGCACAATGTATGTACATATATATGTATGATATAGTTCCAAAAAATGTGTGTGCATTTACACATCAACAGAAAAGCAATTTGATGTGCTTGTTTGAACCAATCGGGCCTTTGAACTGAAGCTTGTTAACAGATTGGGTTTTTGGTATGGTGTTTGGTCTGAACGGCAGCCTTCCTTACCCACTAGATCACACAATGGACATGACTGACCATAAACTTGGACTAGTTCATTTGTGTTTGGGGGTAGGGATGGTTGTCTTACTTGAGAGTTACGACCTCAGACTCCACAGAATCAAACAGTTGATGTGTTCAAGAGACCAAGTGGTCAGTAGTCGTATTAAAGATGAGAGGTGATCTTCGTAGTCACTGTTTGAAGAAAGAGACCTTTAGATCTATGTTATGTGACATGATCTAATGTAGTCACCGTGTTTTTTTTTCCCTTTTTCTTGAGCATGCACAAATAATCTGTTTTAAAGTGGACAGTATCCACTTTACGATAGATGCAATGACATGCTCATTGTGTAACAGGAAGCTCGACATGGATGGAGTCTTGCTTTCAGAGATACACAGATGGGGAGTCGTCTCCTTCTGTGTTTCTCGTTATGACACTACTGTCTGCATGCTCAAACATTATCTTTGACTTATTGAACTGGTGCAGAACTAAGCAACTAATCCGAAAATGATAGTAGAATTTGACGAAAGAGCATGAACATGAATGTCAAATCCACGAGCATGTGGACAGTAGTTTACATAAAAATATCTGTATTTCTGTTTGCACATATTGCTTCATGGTCTACACTAATGTGTCGGGCTGGGGGCAAGACGTTCAAAGTGAAATACTGTACATCCTAAACTATATAATACGCCTGTTTCAGACCTTTGGTCTGTCTTAGTAATGGATCCACTTGTGATTCTGAGGCGGTGTAGTGAGGTGATGTATTCATTCTTTCGACGATGACAGGTTTTTGTACAACTACCTTGAATCGCCTCCATCTGTACAGCAGACAACCATTGATTGGAGTGGTACTATATTGTAAAGCTCATGATTGTTGGACTGGATTCATTGACTGTCTGCTGTAATCCATCCAGATGGTTTTCGTTGTCCTGGTCAAAAACACCTCGCCCTAGTGGCATTAAGATGCGGGTCACCAGACAGCTTTAGCTCCTGATCCAGACGGTACTAGAATAGATGATCATCAGGAAAGAGTAGTATAAACTTGACGAAAGAAACCGCAGTAGTACTGAATGTCTGATGTATATGACAAGACAATATTTGAGGTGTACAAAAAAGTTGATGGTTTCTAGAAATTTTGTTCAGGAATGAAATTGTAACACTTCAGATAAGACTAGGTGCGTATGTACATTATTCCGGTACAGTAATAAAAGTATCACTAGGGTGTGGACGTGGTAGACCAAGTAATTTTTTGTCACAACGGTTATGAAGATTTGCTAATTGGCCACATGGAAAATCTTTCTATTTTATTTGAAGCAAGCTAATTTTGAAATTTCAAAATATTACGATTTTAGAGTAAATTTGGACTTTTGTCACAAAATTCAACCCTCAAGTGTCGGTATTCAAGCATACTATTGATGAAATTCTTCAACCGTCCTCCAAAGATTTACACAAAAAAATCAAGTCTCAGATTTTTGTGATTAATAATGAAACTAAATGTGCTGTTTCCTTAATGTTATGTTGTGGATATGATCACTGAAATTGAAAGAAAATATGAAGTTCCAGCTAATTGGGGCAGTTATATTTCTAATACTCGATTCTTCATTGTCATTGTTTCGTGAAATGAATTGTTTTGGAATGTTAAGGAGGGGTTGCCAAACATTTTAAAAAATATATTGCTTCAAAGAAAAATAAAATCTAACAACTATCAAAAACAGTCCTTTGAAAAATTACATGTGTAATTTGAAAGTGCTGTCTTTCTTAAACAAACTCGGATATCTTTTTTGATGATATGTACCATGATTTTATGTTTGAAATAATTCATTGTTATATTTTTATTCCTTTATTTTTTCTGAGAAAATCGACATTGAAAAGGTGGACTTTTATGGAAATGTGATCTACCATATTGTTGTTAAATATAAATTTACCATTTTTGTAGTGGAACTACCAATACTAATTTATGGTTTTTAGATTGAGCAAATTATGATTTTATGCAAGTATTAGTAATTCAACCCAACCTTTAGGTTAAGAAAAAAATCTTTGATGTGAAATGAGTTCTAAAATAAGCTCTTTTGCATGGAAAATGAATTTTATGTAAGTTTGGAACATGAAAAAAATACAAATCAAAAATAACAAATTACAATATCCTCTTCACATTGGATTTCAACATAAAGCCCACTAGATAAGCACATAAACATCCGACAGGGTATTACTGTGTTGTGTGTATGATACTACAGGATGTGGTCAGTTACAGCCTGTCCAGTGTCCGTTTTTTTTTTATGTTATTCAGTGTCCACTAGAACATTGTTAGTGCCTTATTGTGTTATTCCATGGTACATGATTATTAAACAAGTGAATTCTGATTGTAACATGTGTTTTGTTGTCAAAGTCACAGACAAGTCTTATTGTGGACTGATTAAATCAAAAATCAGTTGTGTAAAATGTGGAGGTAATTATTAACTTATCTATACTTTTCCTACATACACGTGTGCATGCATACATGCAACATACATGGATGCATGCCCTTAAATGACCATACAAACCACAACCAAACCACCTGCTCCAAGTTCAACCGATCATGAGCTATTGTAATTTCTTGCCTTATGTCAAACGTTTCTTAACCTCTTTTTCTGAAGAATCACATGGCCATGTACAGCCAAACTGGATAAAAAGTGTCCATATGGGATGAAAGTTAGATTTGCAAAGGAAAATAGTTTGGGTCCTTGGAGCCAAAAAGGAATAAAATTTGGGATCTACAACAGACTAGCAGGCAGATGACTGAAATGTCCTTGAACTTGTACTAGGACAAAGGAGTCGAATCAACACTCGGTTGACTTATTATGAAGAATCAAAAACACATGGATTCATTAACTTGCTGGAATTGAGTGTTAAAAAATATTAACAGGAACATTTGGAACATTTTAAAAATAAATTACCATCGTGCGTCGGTAAACAATTAACATTTTCGACTTCTCCAAAACCCCTGAACCAATTTCAATGAAAATTTGCAGGGACCTTCCATGGACAAAGGTCAACAAAAATAGTGGCCGGTTTAATCCCAAGCCCTGAGGTGTGTTGCCAAAAAGGGTCAAATTGACTAAAACTTCAAAAATCTTCTTCTCCAAAACCCCTGAACCAATTTCAATGAAAATTTGCAGGGACCTTCCATGGACAAAGGTCAACAAAAATAGTGGCCGGTTTAATCCCAAGCCCTGAGGTGTGTTGCCAAAAAGGGTCAAATTGACTAAAACTTCAAAAATCTTCTTCTCCAAAACCCCTGAACCAATTTCAATGAAATTTTGCCGGGACCTTCCATGGACAAAGGTCAACAAAAATAGTGGCCGGTTTAATCCCAAGCCCTGAGGTGTGTTGCCAAAAAGGGTCAAATTGACTAAAACTTCAAAAATCTTCTTCTCCAAAACCCCTGAACCAATTTCAATGAAAATTTGCAGGGACCTTCCATGGACAAAGGTCAACAAAAATAGTGGCCGGTTTAATCCCAAGCCCTGAGGTGTGTTGCCAAAAAGGGTCAAATTGACTAAAACTTCAAAAATCTTCTTCTCCAAAACCCCTGAACCAATTTCAATGAAAATTTGCAGGGACCTTCCATGGACAAAGGTCAACAAAAATAGTGGCCGGTTTAATCCCAAGCCCTGAGGTGTGTTGCCAAAAAGGGTCAAATTGACTAAAACTTCAAAAATCTTCTTCTCCAAAACCCCTGAACCAATTTCAATGAAATTTTGCCGGGACCTTCCATGGACAAAGGTCAACAAAAATAGTGGCCGGTTTAATCCCAAGCCCTGAGGTGTGTGGCCAAAAAGGGTCAAATTGACTAAAACTTCAAAAATCTTCTTCTCCAAAACCCCTGGACCAATTTCAATGAAATTTTGCAGGGAACTATCCAGGGCCAAAGGTCAACAAAAACAGTGGCTGGTTTAGTCCAAATCCCCCAGGGGCCAACAAGGGTCAAATTGACTAAAATTTCAAAAATCTTCTTCTCAAGACCCAGATATGGTAGACTCAAATACTCTTCATCTATGGAAGGATCTTAAGGTGCTTTACCAAAATTGTGAATTTCTTGACCCTGGGGTCTCATGTTTCCCCCTGGGGAGGGGGTAAACTTGACTATAGTTTATATAGGGAAATCACATTTTGGACCAACATTTGTTTAATTTCCATTGGAAGTAATTCAATTTGGGTTAGCATTATCAGTATTAGGAAGCAGTTTGATAATAAGCACATATCAGCCCTGACTGACCCCAGGGGCTGATGGGTGGGGCCAAAAAGGCTCAAAAATCTTCTTCTCAAGACCCAGATTTGGTAGAATCAAATACTCTTCAAAGAGGGAAGGGTCTTAAGGTTTATGACCCTAGGGTCTCACATTTACCCCCTGGGGAAGGAGGGGGGGGGGGGGGGCAAAATTTATTATGGTTTATAATGGCAAATGATACTTTGAATATTACATGTTAATAACTTGATTGCAATTATAACCTTTAGTTGACAGTTTGATACTTTGAAAATTTTGAGCCAGCCCTCCCCCCAAGGGCTGTAGGGTTGGGCTCAAAGGAGTCGGTGTGTTATGTCGTGGTGCGGCGTCTGTCGTCCGTCCTCCTCCGTCAACTTTTCCTTCTTCTGAAGAACGGACAGGCCTAGAGTCATTTGGCTGAAAGCTTTGTTAGTAGGAGCCCTACAAAATTTGAGAACGAAAATGACCTTGACCTACTTTCAAGGTCACAGGGGTCAAACACTTCAAACGACTTCTTCTGAAGAACTGAAAGGTATAGAACCTTTATATTTGGCTGGTGGCTTCCTGGGATAGAGCCCAACAAAGTTTGAGAATGAAAATTACCTTGACCTACTTTCAAGGTCACAGGGGTCAAATGTGTAAAAAGCTTCAAATGACTTCTTCTGAAGAAATGAAAGGTGTAGAATCTTTATATTTGGCTGGTGGCTTCCTGGGATAGAGCCCAACAACGTTTGAGGAAGAAAATTAGTTTGTCCTACTTTCAAGGTCACGGGTCAAATATGTCAAAAACTTCAAACGACTTCTTCTGAAGAACTAAAAGGTATAGAATCTTCATATTTGGCTGATTGGTTCCTGGGATGGAGCCCAACAAAGTTTAAGAATGAAAATTACCTTGTTCTACTTTCAAGGTCACAGGGGTCAAATGTGTCAAAAGCTTCAAATGACTTTTTCTGAAGAACTGAGAGGTATAGAATCTGTATATTTGGCTGGTGACTTCCTGGGATAGAGCCCGACAAAGTTTGAGGAAGAAAATGATCTTGACCTTTCAAGGTCACAGGGGTCAAATGTGTCAGACACTTCAAACGACTTCTTCTGAACAACTGAAAGGTATAGAATCTTTATATTTGGCTTGTAGCTTCCTAGGAAAGAGCCCAACAAAGTTTGCGAATAAAAGTGACCTTGACCTACTTTCAAGGACACAGAGGTCAACAACATTTTAATGGATTTGTTCTTAAGAACTAAAAGGAATGGATTCATAGATTTGGCTGGTAGCTTTTGGAATAGAGCTTACGAATTTGATAAGGAAAATGACATTAACCTACTTACAAGGTCACAGGGAAAAATATGTCGGGCAACTTCTGAAGAATCAAAAAGCATAGAATCTTGTAAAAATATTTTGCTGGTAGTTTCAACAGATGGAGCCAACAAAGTTTGCGAGGGAAATATTTTTAGTGCAATATAATATTTAATGAGAATATTTTGCTATGACTGCTTAAATATTAGGGTAAGCGATACAGGCCCTCTTGGGCCTCTTGTTCTTGTTTAGAATCAGAGGTGCTAGTTTCAAATCTTTTTCTGAATATTGAAGGCCTAGAGCTATTAGAAAAATCCAGCAGCTTGTTGGCATAGAACGATGCAAATTTTTGGGACCTGTTTTCGTTGTCACAGGGGACAAATTAATTCAACACTGAACTGGCTTTTGAATAGACTGTCGGTGGCTTGCTGGACTGGAGTGCTGCATTATTTAAGAGAAAATGAAATCACCTTGACCTTTATTCAAAGTCTCGAGGGTTGAATCACTTCAAAGGTCAGCATTTAATTATGTATGGCCAGGACGTTGATTATATGGAGTTTAATTTTATAAAAACTTTGACTTGTATTTAAAGCTGACAGTGCAAGTTAAAAGCTTTAAATTGAGATTAAAAAGTAAATAAAAAAAATCTGGTTTGAGATCTTCCACATCTATTCCTACTATCGTTTCCAAGGAAGTGCCGACATTTAAGTTTGTCCTTGCTTTGTAACGAGTATGGGTCTCGCTAGGTATAAAATGCGCATTACCTGTTCGAGGAGCAGACTCTTGTCTGCGCAAGCTACGCCGAACAGAGAGTCTGGTCAAACCAAGTGCTATAGTTTTGTTAAGTCATAACGAGGCTTTCCAGAATTCTGGTAAATGATTTCATTGGTCAAAGGTAGACCCACTCTTTTCAACTTTTGAAGTCAAAGAATTTGAGTGGCGCAAAATTACATTGAATATTTTAATTCATGAGAAACTTACATTTACATGCATTCCTGAAGTATCTGTGTTTTCACTATTATCGAGAAAAACGTAAGAAAATGCTTCAAATCTCAATAATGATGTCATGTATATTCATTGGATATGTTACAATAATTCATGAAGCTAAAAAGGCTACTGAGTCATGCCAGATTACCTGAGTGAGAAACCTAGAGTTCTCGGCCGATCCCAGCCATCTACCTGAAACAGTATTAATCAGTTTCTTCAGTCAAGTTAATCCGTAACCAAAAATTAACTATTACAACTATGAAAAGCCATTTATTTGAATGTTATACAAGCACATTTGGAGCTGTTCGTACATACAAAATAATACACTAACACTACTTGCAAATTAGCGAAATTTTTGAAGATGGCTACACTGCCCTAACCTTTGAGCAAAAAACAGAACCGAAACTAAATGTATAAAGTTATTCCAAGCGGATAAAATAAATTTAAATAATGTGTGCTCGAAACGGACCAAAACGAAACCGAAACATATACAGATTTTAAAAGGGTGTAAATTACATTTGAATACTGTGTGTGACCGAAACGGATCAAAACGTACCCGAAAAGAGATATATTAATGTATTTAATATCAACATCAAACTTGATTTCATCCAAAAAAGAGATATTTGTGTGCAAGAGAAAAAAAAAAGCAGAAATTGCCGCGGCAGGGCGCAGCTAAAGAGCTGTGTCCTCGCGAACGCGAGAAAAAGTCTTTGTCATGGTATCTTAACTCAGTCCATTCTCATGAGTTCGTGAAGCGGGCACGACAAAGTATGATATAAAACAGATCTTGCTCAAGCTGTACAATAGTTTTTCAAGAGTTTGCTCATCGACCAAAACATTCCTGTACAGGGTGAACGAAGAGAAACAAACGTTGCCGAAACAGCACTAAAGACTCGGCAATGCTCCTCTTAGTTGTTGGGCTGTGTTGTCAACTCGAGGTGTAACTCCTCCTTCTGATGAAGAAGTACACAACCCCGTTCAGAATTCCGCCTATATTTGAGAAGGTTGCCACCAAGTAGGTCAGTATCGATGGTGGATTTGGGAAGAGGACGAGAATACTTAGCACAGAGGCGGGCCACCACTGAATAAAGTACACGACCAGAAATAAAAGCATGTTCCTAGCAGCACGATGAGATCTGCTTGTAGCTTCAACTCTTGGGCCGAGTGACACTTCGATATCGCGGGTCTCACTTCTTATCCTGTGCCAGGTCAGACCATAGAGGATAGTGTTGGTGATTAGGATGACGATTATTGGTATAGCGACGACACTGTTGCTTGTCGTTCCTCTCACAGCATCGAACAAACAGCTGAAATGACAACGAATTCTAAACATCTGAATTATTTCTATGAATATTGTCTTCATATGCTAACACAGCTGTGAATGTCGTTTTATTTTCTTTGATCCACGTTTTTTATTACAATTCTTCAATTTTTCTATGTTGTATCAAATATTATATTTTCTTTGCATTACGGCAAACGGTAAAATAAAGGTTATATGTTGCTGTTCTCAGTAACCAATGGGACCGTCGGTAATGAATCAAATGAGGCACAGAATAGTTTTTTTCCAATTTGGATGAGATTCTGGATCAAGATTCAATCATCAAAGAAAATCAAATTTGTATTCACTATAGAACGATAGCGTGGTTTACAACAGTAGATGCACAGATACGTTTTACTGGAATGCAAGTTATCCTGACAACGTTCTTATCAGAGTTCTGCGCTTTCACATGGAGGCAAGAACACCAACATTCCCTGTCTCCGGCACATACATGGATGGACGTCCTGCAATGACCTTAGCTGTAAAAAGGGCGATACGCAAATAAAAAAAAAAGTTATCAGAGTTGAAAAGGTAATAATGCCGGAATGACATCTACAACAACAGAACCGAAGAAATGGAATAATAACCGCCCGTAAGTTGCATGGAAACATCCATTTATACCCTTTGAGTAACAAAGAACCCTTCTCGCTGTATTGTAGTAAGGAAAGTTTTTTAGTAGTAAGAAGGAAAAAACGTCTTTTATAGTATTTATGGCAATGGCAACACAGTTTAATAGATTATTGTTTTCGTAAAGAAAACAATATGTGCTTTGTATCGCTAGCCGATTGATATATGACAAGTGACCCGATTTCGTCGGGTTACACCCGGGATTTTAGCCCTTCACCCGCTTTTATAACTTTACCCGCCGGGTTACGATTTTGACCCGGATTTCGTCAATTTCACCCGTTTTCACCCGGAATCTTTTCGTATATTAGAAGTTACCGAAGTCACTCGGTATTATCTGGACTTTTCCATCCTTCTTCACAAGAAAGACTATCTATTTCCTGTTTCCGTTTCTCACCAACAGGTAAGTTGTGAGTTGTTTATATACGTACTAGAACTGTTTTTACAAATGTTTACAAACGTTGTTACTGAACTTGCCGACAAGTTATTAGTCAGGTTTTTAACGAATGATTGAGTTGTATTTACGTAGAATAGATCGTATTTTGAAGGTAACGTTATGTCTTCTTGAAGGAAGAAGTTTTTATCGGGACTTGCAGGTTCTACTACACGAATTGCTAAAAGAAAAGATAATTGTACACATATCAAATGTCGTAGGAAAATGAGTTATAGTGTACAAAGTCCCTTGGTCGTGGACCAAACGCTGCATTCTGCACTCTAGTCAAAAGCACGCCCAGGCATTTGATGATTTGTTTCTGTCAATCAAAATGATCCTTACAATAAGTGTTCAAACCCTACTCGTATAAAACTGATATTTTATATGAGAAGGGTGCAACTTCTTGTTGTCAGGACCATTTTCATTGACAGAAACAAAATGGTATTTTATATGAGCAGAATGTGACATCTTATCGCATTTCAATTGACATAAAAAATGCCTGTGAAAACACAGTATCATATATATTATTATGAATTAATTTATAAGGTGTGTTGTTGACAAATCTTTTTATTTTTCAGCTTTAAATTTGGTATTGTGGATGAGGATCAGCTAGATCTGCTGGAAGAACAGTTCAATGAATGTAGAATGTAACTTTTACATCATTAAAATATTTAAGTTATAATTTAATATCTATTTTTCTTATATTTACATTTGCCCCCGCGCCGTCCCATTACAACAGTGTTAGAGGGCAAGTGTAATTATATAGGCTATAATTACAACTGTTCGACTATAAATACAACTGCCTGTTCAGGTGTAGGAATATGTAAACAAACAAAATGGCCGCCTGAAATGTATTTTGAGGCAGGGCAAATGGTTTTTGTAGGAATATACACGACTTTTTTCATTATTACGTCACAGCGAGTAGGCGCGGCCATATTGATCACGTGACCTATCCGCCATTGCAACAGTGATCAAACGTGACAAAGATGTACAAGCGAGGAGGCGGCGAAGCGTGCGCTGTTGTTGGGTGCTCCCACAACCGTAAAAATTACATGATTGGAAAAAGGCGATGTGCGAGGGTCATGGAATTATTCACGAAGACTGTCCGTGTTGTGTTCCATATAGCCTACACAAATTACCCTCGGACGAGGAAGTGAAGCGGGAATGGGTGGCGGCCCTACATCGGAAAGATCTTCCAAAGTATGTGCGTGTGTGCTCCCAACATTTCATCGATGGCCGCCCGACAGAGCAAAACCCAACTCCAAAGATTAACCTTGGTATGTCGTCTTGCTCTTTGATTCAGGGTTAACTGTAATTGTCCAAGTAGGCCTAGCCATGTTTCAAATTTAAGTTTAAGCTAAACTTTTATCGCTCAGTCATACTCGTGATGTATTCTAAAAATAGAACGGTTATTTCCAGCGACCGTAACCACAGGGGTTTGTTACAAAATAATACACATTAAATTAATCCCTTGCTACGCCATCTAGCGACAGCTGATATGCCTACAATAATGTGATTCAGTAAGGTTATATCAGTGTATGCCTATACATGTATGCTAGAAATTATAGTATATTGGGTATTATTTCTTTGCATGTAGACTATAATTACATGACAGAACGCCAAACTCCTGTGGTGTTGTTAGATATGTCTACACACTAATACACATGCTTATAGCTATATACTGATATGGTTCACAGTACACCCTGGCC